AGTCTGTAATGAACTTGTAGAATTTTGTAATGTCATTTTGTGATTATGATAATATTGTGTGTATCATTTTCATTAATTATCTCCCCTAAAAGCTTCACTAAAACACATAATTCATTTCAATGCACTAATTAGACTAAACACACATTAGGACAGAGAACACAGGGGTATTGTCCATCTACTGTATGAATCCACTGTTGCATCATGGGAACTGTTACTGTATAGCTGCATGTTCATTGTATTTCTGTATGCGGGGGCCAGATGGAGCTGAGCCAATCACAGAACACGAAGTCACATGGACTTACACCACGTAAACATTCATTATCAGATTGTGTGACTTTGTTATGCAACACTGAAACTATAAATTACCTGATTTCTACTGTCTGAAAAACGTGAGGAAAATGCAGTGGTCCGAATTTAGTCCTCACTTTCCTCACCTTATGCATTCCTAATTATTCACCGTGATGAGTTTTTACGTGCTTTTCATGACTTACAGAGGCCAAAGTGGAGTTTTCTGTGTAAAGCTAATAACAACTAGCATGCTAATGGAACACTTACTAATAATCTTACTTTCTTACTTATAATTATATAGCAAATGTTGTTTTGTGTCCTGCTTTTGTATATTTATGTAAAATTGTCATACATTAGGTAGAATTGTACTGCTAATCTTAAGGAGGGTTTGAATAGGGCCTGGGAGAGATCGCTAAATTAATCATAGTGTTGTAGCACTCGAGACCGGTGTTGGTCTCAAAACCAGCTTCGAGACCATTTTTTATGGTCTTGGTCTTGTCTCGGACTCGACCTCATTTGGATTCGGTCTTGTCTCGGTCTTGAAGGTGATTGGACTCGGTCTTGGTCTCGGTCTTGAAGGTGCTTGGACCGGGTCTTGTCTCGGTCTTGAAGGTGCTTGGATTCGGTCTTGTCTCGGTCTTGAAGGTGATTGGACTCGGTCTTTTCTCGGTTGTCAAGGTGCTTGGACTCTGTCTTTTCTCGGTTGTCAAGGTGCTTGGACTCGATCTTGTCTCGGTCTTGAAGGTGCTTGGACTTGGTCTCGTCTCGGTCTTGAAGGTGCTTGGACTCAGTCTCGTCTCAGTCTTGAAGGTGCTTGGACTCAGTCTCGTCTCAGTCTTGAAGGTGCTTGGACTCGGTCTCGTCTCGGTCTTGAAGGTGCTTGGACTCGGTCTCGTCTCGGTCTTGAAGGTGCTTGGACTCAGTCTCGTCTCAGTCTTGAAGGTGCTTGGACTCGGTCTCGTCTCAGTCTTTGAAGTCTTGTCTCTGAAGGTGCTTGGACTCAGTCTCGTCTCGGTCTTGAAGGTGCTTGGACTCGGTCTCGTCTCGGTCTTGAGGTGCTTGGACTGGTCTGTCTCGGTCTTGAAGGTGCTTGGACTCAGTCTTGAAGGTGCTTGGACTCGGTCTTGAAGGTGCTTGGACTCGGTCTTGAAGGTGCTTGGACTCGCTCTCGTTACAGACCAGTTGTCACAGACCAGTCTTGTTTCAAGACCAGCCTCGAGGCCATTTTTAATGGTCTTGGTCTTGTCTCGAACTCGACCGCGTTTGGACTCAGTCTTGTCTCGGTCTCGAAGGTGCTTGGATTTGGTCTTGTCTCAGTGGTGAAGGTGCTTGGACTCGGTCTTGTCTTGGTCGTGAAGGTGCTTGTCACAGACTCGAGGTCTAATTCCAGTTAGGAACTTGAAAAAACAGGTTTAAAAATCTACCCACTTTCTTCACAGTTTTCAGTAAAGAGCCAGTGGACGTTATCGTAATTAAAGAAGCGGTTCTGAAACTGTAGGTGAGGGTCCAAAAATGGAGAGTTTGGAGAGTGTTTAAGTGCAGTACAGTTTGCTTGGCTTATTTTATGCTTAAATGAACATTAATCAGATATTGATATATACAGTATGTGCCAAAATAACTGTAAAATACAAATAAATGTATAAAATGGCAAAAATCAAGGTCTTGATTTGGTCTTGATGGGCTGTGGTTTCAGTCTTGTCTCGGATTTGGCCTTTAAAAGTCTTGGTCTTGTCTCAGTCTTGACTCTCATCGGTCTTGGTCTTGTCTCGGTCTTGATTCTCAGAGGTCTTGGTCTTGTCTCAGTCTTGACTCTCTGATCGGTCTTGGTCTTGTCTCGGTCTTGACTCTCAGAGGTCTTGGTCTTGTCTCGGTCTTGACTTTCTCAGAGGTCTTGGTCTTGTCTCGGTCTTGACTCTCATCGGTCTTGGTCTTGTCTCGGTCTTGACTCTCAGAGGTCTTGGTCTTGTCTCGGTCTTGACTCTCAGAGGTCTCGGTCTTGTCTCGGTCTTGACTCTCAGATTGGTCTTGGTCTTGTCTCGGTCTTGACTCTCAGAGGTCTTGGTCTTGTCCTGGTCTCAGGACCCTGTGGTCTCGGACTGGTTTTGGTCTTGATTAGTGCGGTCTTGACTACAACACTGATTATTTTAAACATGCATGGCTGATATCTAAAATCTGTTCAGTCATGTTTTTGTTTAGGGAATAATAGTATTCTTATAAAATGGAAGAAAACTCCAAAAAGTTGATTTCGCAAAATACCCCCTGCTTAAAGCCAAATTTCCTTCTGTGAAAAAAGCATTGTTATCTTCCATCGATAACAGTCACTTTATTCATGGGCTGTTTTATTGGGTTTAGTTGGGGTGTTTTGCCAGTAAATGTGTACAGCTGACACAGACACGCCCTTCTTTAGTGTACACTTGTGATCCAACTCATTTCAATACCAAATGTGCTGGACTCACAACAGTGGGATATGTCATTAATGGGAATGGATTCAACAGTGAAGTGTGAATAGAAATGAAAGAATGTGGACCTGGTTTAGTCTTGGTATATAAAAGATATACAGGTTAGGGTTATAAAAAAAAAATCTAAACCCAGATGTAATTAACAGTAGAAGTATTACAAAAACAAAATACTAATCTGACCAAGTGAGAAATCACATAAACAAAAATAAAAATGTGCCCTTTTCTGAATAGTTTTACGGTGTATTTTAACTTCAAAATTGGAGCTAAACCCGAAACTAATCCAAAAAACAAACCTCGACTAGAATAGGACTTATCGGACTAATGTAGGACTAGAACAAGACCGAACCAAGTCCACATCACTACTATTAAAACCACATGGTAACACTAAAGAAAGTAGTATTATTTTAGCAATGAATATTATGTTATATTATCAAAAAGAAATTTATCATTGTGGTACTGAAATCTGTATACCATATGTTTCAGACTATAAGCTGCAACAGCTAAAAATTGCATAATGAAGAAGAAAAAAAACATATATAAGTCGCACTTTTTGGGAGAAATAGAGAACAACAGACTGTTAACGTCACATATGAACAGTTCTTCAGATAAACTATAGCATAAACAACAGAATAAGATTACCAAACTCTCCATCTCACTCCAAATCACTAAATCCATTGAAATCTTCATCTTGAGTGTCACTTCTGAGCAACTCGGCCTCAACCTCCGGAGGTAAACAGAGCGCCGCTTCCTCTCCTGTGTCGCTGTCGTCAGACTCAGCTTCAGTTCCAGTTAGAATTATTCCGGCCTTTCTGAATCATGACAGGATGGTTTTGGTTGGCATTGAAGTCCAGGCTTTGTCCAAGGACCTTCAGGAAAGTTGCATAGTGCACCCTCCCGATGTCACAAGTTTCTCCCTCACTCTAAACTTTCTTTCTGCAGCTCGATTATCGTTTTTGGCTGCAGGTTTCACTACTTGCAGCTTGTAATCTGCCCAAGAACATGGAGAAAAATCCCTGTCCTAATAAATTTCACTATTTGCAAATAAGACGGTGTGCTGGATTTTTCTCCATGTTCTTGGGCTGCTCCCTCTCCTCCAACGCACCCATCTCTAGTAACTGATGTGCGAGGCTCTCATTCTTTCAGCTTGTAATCTGCAAAATCAGATTTGTTTCAATTTAAAAATTTCAGTGGTGCAAAAGTAATGGTGCGATCAACAAAGATGATACAGACAGGACAGAGGCTCTTTCTGCAGGAGACATGCGCAGTAGAGTGAAGTGACAGTGGTACAGGAGTAACTGGAGTACTGATACTGACACACAAGACAAGAGCGCCTTCTAGATGCTGTCAGTGTGAACATTTTAACATATAAGTCACAAGTTTAAGTTGCAGGAAACACCCAAACCATGAAAAAAAGTGCGAAAAATATGTTAAGTATTACATATTTCTTTAGTCTTAGTAAGATAACAGTCCCAGTACCAATTCTAGTCCTGTTTTTTTTATTTGGTATAATCTTATTTACTTGTTCCTTGGTTTCGTGGCCATATGTAGGCTTTGCTTGTATCTTGGTAAAATGAACATTGTGTAACCCTGTGAAAATGTAACTTTATCTGAGGAGGTACTTAGTGTGAAACGTCGTCAAATGTCACATCTTTAGAGTTTGATAATGGTAATATAGGAGATGTTCCCACCTTCACAAGAATCATTTGTTCATTCTTGATGAGGTAACAACATTATAAACAGGACTCAAAGCTCACACGAGTCAATTTTGCGTAATATAGGACCTTTAAACAACAGGGGTTCATGAAAACAACCTTGGGTAGAGTATTTAGTGGTTGCCAGGTTCCCCAAAGGCAGAGGGCAGTTATGCAGAGACAGAGTGTGCACAGGGACTGCTCTTTTGTCATGCACAGGTCCCAGTCAGAGCAGAGAAAATGGAAAGTGTTGGTGGCATTTCATGTTAATGGCCCATAGACGTCATCCAATGGGACCTATGCTAATTTATGAAATGATTCAGTACAGTCTGTTCTCTCATTTGTGTGTTTTTATGCTTACATTTTTATGCCAATATTTTCTGTTTCTGTAAATGTGAGAGAGACAGTTAAATTTGACTTTTTAAAACACAATCTGACCAGAAAGACCTGACTTACAACTATTTAATTCAGAACAATTCATTCAGGATTAAAAACATCATGTAAACGTGGCCTGTGTGTAGTAGTAGTAGTAGTAGTAGTAGTAGTGTAGTAGAGTGTGTACCTTGGAGTTGAGGTCTCGGTGGTAGATGTTCTTGTAGTGCAGGTAGATCATTCCTCTGCTGATGTCACAGGCCAGGTCCACCTTCTCCCTCCAGCACAGAGGCACGTCCTTACGGGCCAGCAGCTCCTCCAGGCAGCCCCCGTTCACATACTGGGACACACAAAAATACAGGAGTCATACACATAGGAATTATAGCTTTTTGTCATTATTTACTGTCATTTATGTGAACAGCTGTTTCTTTTTTAAGAGTTTGGTGCATATTTTCAGAAGCAAATACCATTTCAGTTTCACCTTTTGTTATATATGGAGACTCATGTTCTTGTTCCTGAACACTGCATTAAAAATGTACATTTGAGTTCCAGCATTTCCCCCATTTACTGTATTTTTCAGACTATAAGTCACACTTTTTTTTATGGTTTGGGTGTTTCCTGTGACTTATTCTCTGGTGCAACTTATATATTAACATTTTCACACTGACAGCCTCGAGAGGGCGCTCTAGGCTTGTGTGCCAGTATCTGCTGCTCCTGTTCCTCCTGTACCACTGTCACTTCACTCTACTGCGCATGTCTCCTGCAGAAAGAGCCTCTGTCCTGTCTGTATTATGTCAGTCGATTGCACCATTACATCTGTACCACTGAAAATTGAAAATGACTTCAGAGACAACTGAAACCATCCTGTTGGGATACAGAAAGGCCAGAATAATTCTAACTGGAACTGATGCTGAGTCTGACGACAACTACACAGAAGAGGAATCAGCGCTCTGGCAACTTGTTTTGTATCCGACAACTCAGCGACCTCCGGAGGCAGGTCGCTGGGCTGTCGCAACTCAATAGGTCGCTGAGTTGCTCAGAAGTCACACTGAGGATGAAGAATTCAACGGATTTAGTGATTTGGAGTGAGTTGTTGTTGTTTATGTTATAGTTTATCTGAAGAACTGTACATATGTGACGTTAACAGTCTGCTGTTCTGTCTTCTATTGTTATTACTAGAACTTGATTTTAAACATGAAATGTCAGTTCCTGGTGTCTGATTTTATAAAATAAATTTCCTCCAAAAAGTGCAACTTATAGTCCGGTGCCACTTATATATGTTTTTTCCTTCTTAATTATGCATTTTTTGGCTGGTGCGACTTATACTCCGGAGCGACTTGTAGTTCAAAAAATACAGTATGTAAAATACGGTACAAAACAAACAATGTAAAAATGTACAGGTGCATTGTGTAGCTTTTTGATTGGGGTCCGACTGCTTGTTTCTATGGAAATGTCATTGCTCTGCCTGGAATGTTCCACAGTATGACATTAAACAGCTCTACTTTACATTTATACAATTACAGTGGTTTTGTAGCTCATAAGTACCTAGAAAAAAAGGCATTCTGACAGTGAGCGGGGTCACCTCTCCACAGATCTGACCTGTAACTTGGTCTGATTTGGTCCATGAAGACAGAGCAGTTTAATGTCTTACTGTGGAACATTCCAGACAAAGCAATAATATCTCCATGGAGAAAAGCATTTGACAGACCCTCCACCATAATCTAAATGGAAGCTTATATTATTGAAACTAATATTTTCTAAAGTTACAAGTCAGATCTGTGGAGAGCAGGCATATTTGGTAAGGTATTGTGAGCACTAGAACACTAAATAAATAAATAAATGCCGGTTAAACAGGGTTAAAGCCATAGTGCAGAATATAAAAGACAAAGCAATAACATCTCCATGGAGACACGCAGACTGTGCACCCACGCCAAGATTAGTGCACCTTTGAATAGAAAGTGTTTTGTAGAATTTCTGGAAGTATGGAAAACAGGAATAGGCAGAATAAACACAACTACAGGACGGCCATGGAAATTTCAAAGGATCAAACCCAGAACTGCTTTTCCTGTTGTATTTGTTTATGGTTAATGTTTTTTCTTGGAATGTTCTACCCATTGGCATTTCATTTAACTACCTCGGTGGAAGAAAAGCAGGCCACATGACAAGGCCAAGTTACAGGTCAGATCTGCGGAGAAGTGGGCTCGCTCACACTAAGACTGCATGTTTTTAATGTTGTTTTGAGAAATAAATCCACCTGTAATCGAATATAAGATAAATTTGCTCAATGCCAAACTGTGGAAAATCTCAGATAAAGCAATAACATCTCCATGGAGAAAAACATTTCATGGACTCTCCACCATAAAAAGTTACACAATGCATCTTTAAGTAGTAAACTATGTAGTGTGTGGAGCGTGCAAATGCAAGAGTGTGAAGCTCACCTCAAGGATTGGATACAGTTTGTCCTCTTTGACGCAGATGCCCAGATACCTGCAGGAGGAGGAGGGATGACATATGGATTGGTCAGAGCTCGGTCACATTACGCTATAGACACTTTACAGCTGATGTCGTCAACATTCCCTGGGGGTGAGGTGCTAACTGTAGGCTCTGCTCTGTCTGAGGCTTTGTTAGACTTTAATCTGAGCTTTATTTTAACACAATCTGACCATAAAGAACTGATTTAGCTAGTGTTGTAGCCAAGACCGCACTAACTGAGGCCAAAACCAGTCCAGACCACAGGGTCCAGAGACCAGGACAAGACCAAGACTTCAGCCCATCGAGACCAAATCAAGACCATCTTCGTCATTTTCGATATTTATTTGTGTTTTACAGTTACTTTGGCACATATATATCAGTGTTTTTATGAATATATCTCCATTTTATCTGATTAATGTTAATTTGATCTTAAAATAAGGCAGATGAGGCAGATGAGATGTTTTAAGAAGTTCAACCTGCCCTGTGATGCACACTGGTACATGAGGGCACACACTGTTGTGGACAAGGTGTGCACAAGCTGCAGTGAGAAGCCCCTGCAGTCCCGCACATCAGTACAAGTTTACTGCCGACAGCAGCAATGAAATATGATTGCACTCATCGAGTGTCAGACCTCAAGTCAGAGACAAGACCGAGTCCAAATGGGCTTGAGTCCAAGACAAGACCAAGACCATACAAAAACACTCTCAAGGCCAGTTTCGAGACCAAGTCCGGTCTCGAGAACTATGACACTAGTTTCCACCATGCCTTTCAACTATTTTTTTTTTTTTAACAATCTGGGAAAATTAAAGGGACGTGTTTCAAATGTGGGCTGGACTGTCGAGCTTTCGGCTGCATGTTATTTTAACTATAGGAACACATCAATACCACTTAATAGTGTTAGAGCTGACATAATATGTTTTCTAGTACGTCATTTCTCATTGTTTTGCTGGATTTATTGGCCTGTAAGTTGTGCTATTGAGTTACTGAGTTATTTAAAATGTAGTTGCTTTTCAGTGCTTCTAACACTCCACTTCAGCACAGCCCTTTGAAAATTTGCTCCCCTCTGCTCATTTGTCCCTCTCTCCTTCCCTCTTACCTTCACTCTGCTCTCTCTGTCTCTCTTCTCTTCTGTCCCTCTCTTCTCCCTCTCTTCTCACTCTCTGCTCCCATTTTCTCGCTCTCTTTTCAGTCTCTTCTAACTTTCCTCTCGCTCTCTGCTCCCTTCTGTTCCCCTATTTCCCTCTTCTCCTCCTCTCTTCTCCTCCTCTGCTCCTCCTCTCCTCCCCTCTTCACACTTCTGAGCTCCTCTGTGCTGTGACCTTGTGAAGTGGCTGATGCAAAGTGCTTAGACAAACATTGTGTCTGCTTCAATCCACTCTTATTAAAAAGCACTTGGTCCGGTGACAGCGATGACTCAATAGTATTCAATATGACTGATCTTTCAACACTTTTAAACCCCAGAAATGCAGTTAGATTGTCAGAGGGTATATTTATATGACCGGCACCATCAGATCAACCAATTCATTTCGTGTTTACCTGACGATGTTTGGGTGTGAGAGTTTCTGCAGAAGGCTGATCTCACGCACGATGCTGTCCTGGTCCACGTCGTTCTTATAGATCTTCACCACCATCACTTTACGACTGGTGCTGTGTATCACCTGGAAAACACAGCCAGAGAAAGCAACAATATGAGGGCAAATCACTTTACGACCGGCGCTGTCTAAATCCTGGAACACACAGCAAGACGGAAGTAAAAGCAAAGAGGATATTACTGTACGACTGGTAATGTGTGTCACCTCGAACACACAACGAGAGAAAAATACAATAATACCAATAGTTGTTTTTTGTTTCATTAATTAGACCATGAGTTTTACTACTGACAAATGAATGGCACACTATGTAACATTTCTGCTGGAAGTTTCAGGCCACCTGATTGTCTATATAATTTCATTTTTACCTGGAATGTAAAAATATACATGCTTATTGTGGGCGGGCTCGCTTCTCCACAGATCTGATCTGTAACTTGGTCTAGTGGTGGCAAGACATTCTTGTCTCATCTCTCCATTAATGCAAGGAACGTCTGTATGTCTCTGTGTCTTTTCCACACATAACTCTCAAACCACTCATCCAACTGATCTCGTATTTGGAGGGTGTCATCCTAATGGTTCAGGTTTGTGCAGTGCCAAGTTTCATGTTTTTAGGGCAAAAATTGCCAAAGACCTTTTAAAATGAGTGATATATTTTAAATATAAAGAACTTTTGGAATCAATCATCACCACAGGTCACATGACACCAAGGATCACATGACACCACAGGGAAGTTATCGATGGCTACACTTGGAATTTTTTTTTTTGAGCTTTCTATCATGTTAGAATGTTGTTCACTAATATTATATATATATATATATATATATATATATATATATATATATATATATATATATAATATATATATATATATATATATATATATATATATGTACAGGGCGATGTTCCTGCCGAAAGAATGGGAAGCTCGTGCTGGGACTTTTAAGCCAGGGGTACGCTCGAGCCGGTATTCAAAACTATACTCCACAAATATACAAAAGCATGACACAAAACTGTATACAACAACTTGATAAACCTGATGCAATTGTGTTGCGATAGCGCTGTGAAGGGGGAGTGACTTAGCGAGGAGAGCAGAGGGAGGAGAGACTCAGAGCGTGTCAAAACAAAAAAAACGAACCAATTACAGGGCAGTAGTGTGGTTTCTACTTCATCCTATTTTAGATTTTTTTAAACAGATAACTGTATTTTTCGGACTATAAGTCATGCTTTTTTTCATGGTTTAAGTGTTTCCTGTGACTTATACTCCGGTGCAACTTTTATATTAAAATTTTCAGACTGACAGCAGCGAGAGGCTGTAGGTTTGTGTGTCAGTATCTAGTACGACTATTACTCCTGTACCACTGTCACTTCACACTCTACTGCGCATGTCTTCTGTAGAAATAGCTGCTGTCTCACTGCAAATAGTGAAATATTCAGCCGAAAACAGTAATCGAGCAGCAGAAAGAAAGTTTGGAGTGAGCGAGAAACTTGTAAGAGACTGGCCGAAAGCGGGGATGGAGAACACAGCTTCACGGGAACCGGGCGGGTGCGCCATGCAACTTTCCTGGAAGTCACTGGATGAATCGACAAAGCCTGAACTTCAATGACACTGAAACCATCCTGTCGGGATTCAGAAAGGCCGGAATAATTCTAACTGGAACTGAAGCTGAGTCTGATGACAGCTACATGGAAGAGGAAGCGGCGCTCTGTTTACATCGTGGTTCTATAACCTCTGTGGAGGTTGCGTAGAAGTGACACCGAGGATTTAATGAAGAATTTAATGGATTTAGTGATTTGGAGTTAGATCAGGAGTTTGGTAAACTTATGTTCTGCTGTTTATGCTATAATTATCTGAAGAACTGTTAATATGTCACGTTTACATATTAACGCCTGTTCAGTCTGTTGATCTCTGTTCTATTACCATAACTTAGCTTTCAAGATGATTTTACAAAATACATTTCCCCAAAAAGTGCGACGTATAGTCCGGTGTGACTTATATGTTTTTTTCTTCTTCACTGCGCATTTTTTGGCTGGTGTGACTTACAGTCCGGGAAATATGGTATTTGCTTTTGCAACACAGAGAAGCGTTTTTAGGGGGATTTTTTGTGCATTTGTGGACTGGTCTGAACTGGATTTAATTTAAGTTTGGTTTCTTGGCTTGTTCCAAAGTTAAGACGCTTCCCCCAATCAGAATCTGCACGTTCCAAGTGTCCTTTTAGCTTTCCCTCACCGTAATTACATCAAACAATGAGCCATTATACGCACTAATATTATGACATCCACCACTATAGCCCAATTAAACCCATTAACTCCCAATATTTAACCACACACAGCCGTCCTCCATCAAAGACTCCATCCAATTTGGTTATGTAAGAAATTCCGCTGCAGAGGTCAGAGGTCGCCGAAGCTGGTGGGCCAATCACGGCACGGCAAGAATGTCCCAATTAGTGGACCGAACAAGAGTGGTCTTTATGCGGGACATGTGGGACGGAGACGGCAGAGGGACAGAGCAGGTGGGAGGGGACAGCTCATACATTTCATCATTTGTTTATCTTCTGTGCCGTTCTATTTATGGACTTTTATGAGCATATTTGTACCAGCTGTTGGTCAAATCAGAACCTCAGTTACACATATTCTGCAATTTTTACCTTTATGAGCTTTTAAACATGTTATAATTGTTTTCTTTTTACCGTTGTTTAGAGTTGCATTCGTAAGTAATTTTGGAGTAATGTGGAGTCAGTCTTGTTTGAGCTTGATGACACTGTTTCCTTATTTAAAACATACAGTACGTGTAGTTGTATTTTCTAGGGATGTAACAATAACCGAAATATTGTGATATTGTCAAAGTTCTCACAATAATATCGTGGACCATCACAATATATCAAATTACAAGTCTATTTGTTTAAATGAAGAGTTATGGTGCAGCAATAGCTAAAAAAGACAGAGGGAACTACATAGACCATGATCCTTTGCTCCATTTCAGTGCAGACTACAAGAAGAAATAACAGTTCTAAGCACTTTTAAGTCTTAGTTCTTCGGTCTTGTCAAGGCATTTTAAGAGGAAAAAGTAGTATATTCACAGTTTTGTTTGTAAGTCTCCACAAAATATCACAATAAATATCGTATCGTGAGAGGTATATCGTGAAAATATTGTATCGTGAGACCTGGATATCGTTACACCCATAATATTTTCACTTCACTCACGCTTGTTTCATTAATCCAAGAGCTTGCTTTGAGGACATTTTTCTCAAATAGTTACGTCAAAGGTAGAAATATAGCAGTCTCATGCACAGTTTAAAAGTACATAAATTATTTCCAGACTTGTTCTGAGCATTTCTGGTATTTAGTGATACTTTCCACGATCCTTTCCTTCTGCTGCCAGTGGACAGCGTGATAACACTCGATACAAGTAGAGGCACTGCAACCAAAGCAAAATAATGTTATCTACAAGCAATCTCACAACATGAGATGCCAGAGCAAAGGTCCTCAAGAGCATGTGTAAAGGCCAACGCACATCGAGACGCTTTGACGCGCGGAAAAATTGCCATGTCCATTATTTTCTATGAGCGTGACCCTCCACCCTGCGTCATGATTAGAGTTTGCTGAATCGGGATGTGGCGCGGCGTCTGAAAACACATGAGGCATTTTGCACTTGTGCGGTGAGTACAGCCATGTCTCTGCCCCGTGACCCACAAAAGGAGCTGTGAACTTTGAGGAAAGAGCTGCAGCAAAGAAAATCCTGGTGTTCAACTCAACAGAACGCCGCCTCCTCTCCCGCTTCTCCTCTCGACTCTCGCTAAACTCACTATAACCTATGACTATAAATAGGGGTGTGCAAAAATATTGAAATATCGATATATCGTATCATTTAATGTGATGATACAGTATCGATATTGTGGGCTGCTGTATCGATATCGCCAAGAGTATTTTTTTGGTATATTTTACTACATTATATTGTTACAGTGCTACAGTTTTGTTGGTTGTTTAGAAGAAGTATGAAGTACTTGATGACTAAAATGGCTGTTTCCTGTTAACTTTGCACAAGAGGTGGTTTAACAAAGACTTTTAGTATCACAGCCACGATTTAGCCATTACTTTCTATTAAACTGTATCGAATTGATTTGAAATATATCGTACTGAATTGAAAGTGGAATGTATCGAGATATGTATCGTATCGTCAATTTCTTAATGATATCCAGCCCTAACTATAACCAGAGCCGTATTAACCCAATGTGGTCCCCCCCTGGATGTATATCATGATAATATCATACCAAGAGATTTGGATATTGTTACATCCCTAATCATGAGCCTCCCCACCATATCATGAGCTTTATCACAATATCACAATAAATATCGTACCATGAGGTTCATACTGTGGTGATATTGTATCTTGAAACTTGGAAACTCATTACACCCCTAGAAATTAATGTTAATGATGGGTTATGTATGACCATTTAACATTTTCAAGTGAATAACATACAAATTACAAAAAATATTTTTTAAGTTTGTGTCATGTGGTGCCCCCCCACTGATTGTTGTCCCTGGGCACCGTGCCAGTGGCCCATACGGATAATCCGGCCTTGCCTCAAACCAGTGCCTTTCTTCTGTTCTCACAGTCTCACTCACAGTGTGTCTCTTATTTTATATGTAATCTGCAGATAAAACACTCATTTATAACACTGCAAGAGTTGTGTTAAAGAATTTTAAGAACTGACACGCTGCAAATGACGTGCTATGGTGTGTTTTGGCCAATACCATTTCTAATTTCTAACCCTACCCCTTCCCCTATCCCTTGCCCCTTGTTCCTAGAAACTGAGCAACAAGGGGTAGGTGTTGAAAGTAAACCTCTACGATTCGGGACACCCCTTCAACAATCACATACATCATCAGTAGTCTCCACCAGCTTAAGCAGATGTGAAAAGCTTTTACCAGAAATCCAACATGTCGACTACAACTGTCAATTCTTTGGTCTCTGTTGTCGTGGTAGCATCCATCTTGCTGGTTGCAAGACATTCTGGGAAACTGCTCATACCCCTCCGTTTGGAGTGCGCGTCCAAACAGAGGCCACATCTATATAATCTTCGTATAGTCCTACCACTTTCCCCTACCCCTCTTCTATAACGGTAACTGGGACACCTCAACCCCTACACGTGAACGCACAAAACAGAAGGGTAGAGCAAAGTGGGATTCAGCCTTAGTGTGTAAGTAACAACACAAATAATGCATAATATGTGTTCTTTAATATAAAAGTAAAAGGATCATTTGAGTAAAAATATGACGCTATCACAAAACTGTGAATGTGTAGGATTTTTAAACATGGACTGGCACTTCTTGGATGTTTTGGAAACTCACTAGCTAACTCACTATTCACTATATGTATAATCACTACTCACTAATGAACCAACCAAGTAAGACAGCACATGGATATTTGGACACAGGTGTACAAGTTTAACAGTACAAGTATAAAAGGGTTTAAATCTATGGGAAATCAAATCAGGCACATCAAGCTTTATTGAAGGTGAAGCACACATTTCATCCGTATCCATCCAAGTACTGACCTTATAGACTTTGGAGAAGAAGCCGGTGCCGATGAGCTCTGCAGTGAAGTTTTCCCAGAATTCCAATTTACGGACGGCGGTGCGAAGCTTCTGCCAGCGGTCCACACTGTAGTACTGATCTGAGGACTCCCCGTACAGAGTGGGGCTGGAGGGCTCCGAGGACACGTCCACCTCACACATGCTGGAGATATTTGCTGCACGGGACAGACACGAGGACAGGTGTTACAATGTGAGGAAAAATCAAGGAAATTCTACTAATTAAAGGTTATAATATATAAGTTTAAAGGGCTCATGATCTATGTTATAAGTTGTGCGTAACTTGTTATGAGATAAAATTCATGTAAATTTCAATAAATACAATTCATGTTCATTGTTTTGTTTTTTCTTTTGACTAAATGTGTGTGTGTGTTTAAGATAAATTAAAAAAGTTTTGATTTACATATTTATAACAGTGTTCTTTCTTCCCTCTGCACAACAGATTTATGTAATTTATATTTTGAAGTTATATTTTATCATTTGTTGTTCTCATTATCGTTGTCGTCGTCGTCATTGTTGTAGTCATTGTTGTTGCCGTCGTTGTTGTCGTCATTGTCGTTTTTGTTGTTGTTGTCGTCAATGTCGTTGTCGTCATTGTTGCTGTCGTTGTCGTCACTGTCGTTATTGTCAATTTTGTTGTTGTTGTCGTCATTGTCGTTGTCGTCATTGTTGCTGTTGTCCTTGTCACTGTTGTTGTCATCGTTGTCGCTGTTGCCCTTGTCATTGTCCTTGTCATTGTTGTTGTCATCGTTGTTGTCATTATTGTTGTTTTTGTCATTGTCACTGTTGTCGTTGTCATTGTTGTTATCGTTGTTGCTGTTGTCATTGTTGTTGTTATCGTTGTTGTCGTTTTTGTTGTCGTCGTTGTCACTGACGTTGTTGTAGTCATCGTCGTTGTCAGTCGTTGTTGTTGCTTTTATTGTTGTTGTCAGTCGTCGCTGTTGCTGTTATTGTCGTCGTTGTTACTGTTATTGTCGTTGTCATCATTGTTGCTGTTATCGTTGTTGTCGTTTTTGTTGTCGTCGTTGTCACTGACGTTGTTGTAGTCATCGTCGTTGTCAGTCGTTGTTGTTGCTTTTATTGTTGTTGTCAGTCGTCGCTGTTACTGTTATTGTCGTCGTTGTCGTCGTTGTTACTGTTATTGTCGTTGTTGTCATCATTGTTGCTGTTATTGTTGTTGTCATTGTTTTTGCTGTTATTGTCGTCGTTGTTGCTGTCATTGTGGTCGTCATTGTCGTTGTTGTCTCTGTTGTTGTCATTGTCGTTGTTGTCATTGTTGCTGTTGTCGTCATTGTCGTTGTTATCGTTGTTGTCTCTGTTGTTGTCATTGTCGTTGTCATTGTTGCTGTTGTCGTCATTGTCGTTGTTGTCGTTTTCCTTGTTGTTGCCGTCGTTGTCGCTGTTGTCATTGTCTTTGTTGTCGTCGTCTTTGTTTTTAATCTGTAATATTCAAACCCAAATGTCCACGTCCCTCACCTCCCGTGTATTAATAACTCCGTAAAGTGACTATAACATGTACCCAGTGTTGTCCTTCACAAACACACAAAGGCACAGTGACAAAAAGGAGGGACACTTTATGAATGGAACAACATTAAAGCCTCGTCCAATGAAAGAGCAGGGGACAAAAGGTCTCATTAGATGTCCACTCTTCACCTGGATGAAGCTCCTCTCGGCGCCGTCGCAGACAAAGACGTGTATAATGTGGCCTTTAAATAGAAGGCTCACGGGGAAATTTGGTGTTTGAAGAGGCAGGCCTATTGTTTATGATTGTATGAGGCTAAATGCAAGGTCCAATCAGATGTATTGTATCAGGGAGCCATTTAAAATAAACGGATTAAGATTTAATACAGAAGTGGTTTCAAAAGCAAAGTCTATCAAGTATGTTTTAAAAGAACTGTATGTAAAAGTTTGATTTTAACTTTCACATTTCACAAACCTGACCTATCTGTGCCCGAAGGTACGAAGTAGACATGTCCAAATCAAATACAGCTTTTACTGACAAAAATGAATACAAAAACATTAGCCATTTCACATGTTCAGATTTCTGAGTTTCGGATGACATCACACCAGTTTATAAGACAATATTACTTCATACAAATGGGGGGCGGCTAAAGTGAATATTGTTCAACTGCAGATTTTTGTTGTAATATGGCATTGTCTTGGGTCTTGGCAATAATAGAAATGATCAGTTTTGATATTTGGGAATTTACCTTTCTGATATTTCATTTCAAAATACAATATAATTAATAGGAAAAACTGTTGCTCGCTAGAGGTCTGCGCGGGACAGATTTTTCAGTCCCGCTCCCGCCCGCTCCTGCACTGTGGAGTCCCGCTCCCGCAAAGAATGGTAATTTTCAATCCCGCTCCCGCCCACATCTGTGATATTTTGTCCCGCGCCCGCCCGCAAGTCCCACAGGATGGGAACCTTTGCTTTCTTAAACTCAAACACAGAGAAGCGAAAGAAATTGGGCTGCGTATGGGAGGAGGCGCGGTGGGCGGTCCGGCGGCATGGTGAAGTCCTGGCTAAATCCTGTTTTAGTCCTGTTTTTAGACCTGTTTTTAGACCTGGTTTAGTCCTGGTTCTGGTTTAGTGGCGTAGCCCGCGTGACATATGGAACGAGGGGGGGGCTGTCCGCGCAGCGTACGGGTGGGTGGACTCTTCGCGTGGCAGCGTGTATGGGAGGGTGAAGTCTTCGCACAGCGTACGGGAGGGGGGACGGTCTGCTGCTTAAAATGTTTTATTAATGCCAAATAAAATATCCAGCAAAAATTATGCATGATATGCTTACATTCATTTGTATATTTTACTTTACACTCATATTTAGTTTGCGGGACTGCCAGCTCCCGTGTTGTGCAGTCTCGCTCCCTCCCGCGCCCATAATGAGCTTTCAAAATTTCGGGTCGGTCCCGCGGGTCTGCAGGGCTCTATTGCTCGCCCCCATCTGGGAGTATGACATCATCACATTTTAGAATCTGAAAGCCACCAATACTGAGAATCAGGGCCTGACCAATATATCAGTTGGCTGATATTATCAGTAGATATGGGCCGATAATCCACATGGTCATGTTATATCTGTTATAAAGCTTAGACTCTCTGTATTATGTCCAGTTAATCCAATTTACAGACAGATAAATGTCCTAATATGTGGCGCTGCATCTGTATTTATCTGCGGAGTCATTTGTCTGTGTATGACGCTGTACTGTCCCTGAACGCACCCCCAGAGTCACATCATTCACGTGCACTTGTTTACACCCACAGCTGTCAACATGCTGGATTATATTGTATTTACAGATGATCTTTTTGAGTCAGGATTGAAAGGACACTTATCAGTGAAGACTTGAGGCATTGGTGTGAGTGGTAAGTGTTACAAATGTGTCAGTTCTGATGCTCCTTTTGGTTCGTTTTTCATTGTTTAACTCTTAGGTCCCACACATAAACAGCCTGTTTTCTGACATTGGCCACTGTAAAGTGACTATAGTGGCTGTATATATGTTACGTAAATGAGCTGTGAATAGAGGTGTGAATGAATGGCATTTACGCATATAATTAATTACTGCAATGTCCTCGCATTTACCACTAAAGGCTAATAGAGGTAGTTTACTTACTTCTTTACTGATTTGAATGTCATGCAAAAATGCTATTCTGTTGACCTACTGTCTTTAAATAAATGACTGTAAAGAGGCAGAATAACAAGAAATGTCACCTAAACAAACCCAATTTAAAATCCAGTAGAGCCAGACCAGCCAATTTTTATAATCAGTTGACGATTTACAGTGAATTTTTACATTACTAAATATATCGACTTTTATATCGGCTATCGGCAACTCCAACTTCTGTTTTATCGGTATCATATTGGCCTCAAAAAAAAAAAAAAAAAAAGCTAAGAAAGAGAAAAATGTGTATGTGTTCCTCTATCTGCAAGTTAAGGAACTCTGGCAACTAAGGGTCAACTGTGATTATACTACCTTTTTTAAAACCGTAAGAGACATACTGTTCCGAAATCTGTTCATTATCTGATTTTTCTTACTTCTTTACTGATTTGAATGTCATGCAAAAATGCCATTCTGTTGACCTACTGTCTTTAAATAAATACGACTGTAAAGAGGCAGAATAACAAGAAATGTCACCTACAACAACAACAACAACAAACCCAATTTAAAGTCCAGTAGAGCCAGACCTACGTTTTATAATCAACTGAAGATTTACAGTGAATTTTTACATTACTAAATATATCGACTTTTATATCGGCTATCGGCACCTCCAGCTCCCATTTTATCGGTATCATATTGGCCACAAAAAAAAAAAAAAAAAAAAGCTGAGAATGAGAAAAACATGTATTGGGATTATAATACCTTTTTTTAAAATCGTAAGAGACATACTGTTCCAAAATCTGTTCATTATCTGATTTCCGTAATAGTCAGATTACTGAAATGGCATGTATATTGTAAAATCATATGTCAGTAACCTGATTTCTTTCTGTCCGCTCACGCCTGTGCTGATGGTCATGAGGAAATTACAGCAAAAAGCAGCTAATGTAGCAAAGGAACAGACAACAGACAGTAAGAATTATTCAAGAAATGAATTTCACCAGAACTAATACTCTCTTAACATCCATGTGTGTAACTGAACCTGGATGGCCAGAGCCTGAACCTGCAGAAAGAGAACACTAAGGCTGAGTAGCATTCAGAAGTTGCCGATACGATACATACCTCGATCCATAGGCCTCGATGCAGTGAACTTTCGATTGAGTACGATTCAATATGATATATTTCAAATCGATTCAATACAGTTCAATATAAAATAAAGGATAAATCATGGCTGTGATATTAAAAGTCTTTGTTAAACCACTTCTTGTACAAAAGTGAATATGAAACACTTTAACATTTGAAACATTTTAATCATCAAAACAGTGAAGATGTCAAATGTGTTGCATAAATCCTCTAAACAAACAACAAAACCGTAGTACTGTAACAAACCAATTTAGTAGAATACACCAAAAAAATACTCTTGGCCATAAATTGATACTGTATCATCACATTAAACCATACGATATTTTGATAATTCAATATTTTTGCACACCCCTAGAGGCCACATTTTGCGTTTTTCTCATTCTCAGCATATGGACAGTCCAGGCCTCATGTGAAAACTCAGAACCTT